CTGTTAGCGAAGACAAAAAAACACGAAATTAATACTCGGAATGAAGAGGAAGAAAAATTTTAACATACAGTAACTAGATTTAATAGCCATCGGGATACTCATCCCATTGGCAAGGAGATCGTTAGCAAAGTCGGCACACTGCCAGTCTCCTCCAACCCACAACCATTCTTCCTGAAATCCATGAAGCGTGTATGGGAATTCTGTTATCAATTTACTGACCTTAACCCTTGACTGAGGTTTAACGACAATCAAAAAAGTTAGAAGCAGGTCTGTTACTTGTCTATTCGGACTTTTCCTAAAAGTAAATATACTTGTCATGTCCCTCGCCGACGGCAAATCCCACCTCTTTTCAGCCAAAAGCACGAGCAATCCGATAACTCGCTTCCATGAATTCAGAGCGATTTGACATAAGGTAAATTCCCAATTCCGTAAGTACACGGTAATTATGCGTGGCAAGAGAAATCGCAATCCCGATCTTAAACTCTCTGCAAACACACCGACACACCCTGGCGGCGGACATGTAATCCTTTCCCCGGGATACGGTGCAAATAAATGTACCGACGTAGGGACTCGAATCTCACTCCGCAACATAATGACGTCGGCATCTGTCAATATGCTCGGTTCACCGTGACAGTTAACTTTGGGGTCTGGCCACCTTCTAATAGGTCGTCTCCAATATCTTGGATCGTCAACACCGTTCTCTTCCACCTTTTTGTCCCCTTCGGTATCGTTTAATCGGATATTCAGGCGTTCGACAAAAACTTGATCTCACCGGTTATACTCGGAAAGCAATTCCATCTCCCCGGAATGAACCATGTTGATCATCATAATGTCCAGCTCATCGTCCCCAGAAGATGCCCATGACACACTCATGATTCGAAGAAGAAATATACCGAAACAGATAAACAAAAAAAGAAATAAGTCTTACCACGAGAAGAAATTCACAGATCTGAGGGAAGTGCTTTGAGGGATGCAGTTATATGAGTCAATAAGTTCGAAAAAAGGACAAAGTTGCAAGAAAACAGGAAGTTAGATTGCAGAGCAAAAGTAAAGATGAAATAAACTTCAAGAGACGATTTTCTATTTATACTTAACCCTCAATTCAATAGTGACTGTAACGCCCCATTTTTATTTGTCGAAAATCAGAATAATTTATTTCTTTTAAAATTTATTTCAAAATACTTGAGGCGCTACTCATTTCCAAATCAATAATCAATACTTATCCATCATCAATACTCAATCCTCAGTACTCATTCATCAATAATCAATAATCCCAATAATCGATAATACAATCCAAGCATTCCAATAATCAATATCCTAGGGAATACACTCTCTATCAATAATCCCATAATAAATAATAGAGAAATCAATAATAGCAATATTCAGTTCAAGGCAGAAGCAATTTGTTAGGCTCGATTTGTGTAATTATATTTTTGGGAATTTTCTGGTATTTTATCTGTAAAATTCTGTAATTAATTGGAAGAGAATGGAGAGGGAGACGACTTAGAGAGAGAAAGAGAGGAATAGGAAGAGAGAGAGAGACATGTGAATAATGTTGATTTGTTACTTGATCTCTGAAAATTTCCCGATTACATACTCCCTAGTGGGTCCCAAAATAACAAACTATTTCTAGAAACTTAATAACAAAAAGTGAAAAGCCCAGCATAAAACTCTTAGCAATCAAGCCCATATTTAACATAGAAAGTGGGCCATAATAAAAATAAAACCAATGCTATCAGATTGTCTTGAAAACTGGCCCAATGCTTTGAGATGCTGCTATTTATTCCTCTTCTTCAATTGTTACTTTCTGCTCAAATTCACTGTGAACAAACATCGCAGCAACACCATCCTCAACAGCTTCGAACCCTAATTACCTTCACCAGCCAAATCGTCGGCCGAAACATTCAAAGACTCCCCCTTTTTCACCCAAGACGCCTTATTTCCGATAAAGATTTGTCTTTTATCTCCAAATTAGCCAAATTTCGCGCAGATGATTTCGGGTTCATGACATTACCTCTGCCATCTTGAGATCCTTGACCGCAAGGATCAAGGTTTGGAAATCGGCGATTGATGAAGGATGCATCCTCCCACGAGATCTGTGCCGGTGGTGTGCCATCCCACAAAACAGAACTTGAGGTATCTGTTTTCCATTTCGCAGAACCATTTGTTTTTCTGTAATTGCTAGTGGATCTGCTTTGATTTGGCCATCATCATTTGTCTGAGGTAGCAGCGGTTTGGGTTGAGAACCAGGCTTCAACTTTCTTTTGAGCAATGAGCAGTGAAAGACCGACTGAACTTGCGACCCTTCAGGGAGAGCTAAACGGTAAGCTACTGCCCCAATTTTCTCAGTGATAGTATAAGGCCCATAAAATCGAGCAGATAACTTGATATTTTTCCTAAGTGCCACTGAGTTTTGCCTGTATGGTTGTAGTTTGAGGAAAACTTGTTCACCCACTGCAAACTGCTTGTCTTCCCTTTTTTTATCTGCATAAAACTTCATCCTCGATTGGGCTTGAATTAAATTTTCTTTGAGTAGCCTTGCTTGTGAGCTTCTTTCTTGCATAAACTCCTTCACCTCTGTGTGATCAGAGTCTAGGTAGGGAACCATAGAAAATGTCTGAGGCTTGTATCCATAAAGGGCCTGAAATGAGGTCATCTTTATACTGGTGTGGAAGTTGGTGTTGTACCAACTTTCTGCCAAGGATAGCCACTTGTACCAGTGTTTAGGATTGTGGTGTGTCATCCCCCTCAAGTAATTTTCTAAACACTGGTTGAGTCTCTCTGATTGACCATCACTTTGGAGGTGATAAGATGAGGACATGTTTAGCTGCACCCCCAACAATCTGAAAAGTTCTTTCCAGAAAAGGCTAGTAAACACCTTATCTCTATCTGAGACAATACTCACAGGCATACCATGTAATTTGTAAACTGAATCCAGAAATAGTTTAGCCACCATAGGAGCAGTATAGGGGTGGGACAAGGCCAAAAAATGGGCATATTTGGTGTATCTATCAATGATCACCATTATAACATCCTTTCCCCCTAAATTAGGTAGCCCCTCTATAAAATCCATAGCTATGTAGTCCAAGCCTGCTCTGGTATGGGTAGAGGCTGGAGTAAACCTTGATAGAGCCCAAAATGTGCCTTACTTTTGATGCAATCATCACAACTCTGTACCCAATTCACAACATCATTCTTCATACCTGGCCAATAGAATATGTTCTTGAGCCTCATGTAAGTGCCCAAAATTCCAGAATGCCCCCCATATGGTGAGTTATGCATGGTTGACAAGATAGAACTTTGCAGCTTTGTACCCTTTCCCACCACAAGCCTCCCTTTGTGCCAAATGAGACCATCCTGAACAATAAACTTAGGATGGGAAAGAGGGTTGATAATGTTGGCACTCAGAACCTTAGTAAAGTAAGGGTCTTCCTTATAACTCTCCTTTACTTCTTGAACCCAAGAGGGAATAAGAGTGGAAATAGCCATGCAGTTTGTGCCATCCATTTCCCTCCTGGAGAGTGCATCTGCTACTTTATTGTCAGTGCCCTTCTTGTACCTGATTTCATAGTCTAGGCCCAACAGTTTAGTAATCCATTTCTGCTGAATTGGGGTCATCACCTTCTGATCTAGGAGGTGTTTGAGAGCTTGCTGATCAGTGTTAATGATAAATTTATTCCCTTATAAGTAGTACCTCCACCTTTGCACAACCATTAGTACAACAAGGAACTCTCTTTCATAGATGGATAAGGCCCGATTTTTAGGACAAAGCATCTTGCTCATGAATGCAATTGGTTGCCCCTATTGCATGAGTACAGCCCCTACCCCTTTGCCACTTGCATAGTCTCCAATGTGAAAGGCTTGTTGTAGTCAGGTAAAGCTAAAACAAGAGAACTGCACATAGCCTCCTTCAGTGCCTTGAATGCTCTGTCAGCCTCTAGACCCCATTTAAACTGGTCCTTCTTTAGCAAATCAGTAAGAGGTCTGCTAATAATCTCATAACCCCTAATAAATTTCCTGTAATAGCCTGTGAGTCCCAAGAAGCCCTTGAGTTGCTTCAGTGTCTTGGGAGTAGGCCATTTCACCATGCATTCAATTTTTTGAGGGTCAGTAGCAACCCCTTGGTAGGTTATGATGTGCCCCAAATATTCTATCCTTTCCTGAGCAAACTGGCACTTGCTCCTCTTAGCATAGAGTTGATTCTCAAGCAGGATTGTCAACACTTGTCTTAAATGCTGTAAGTGGTCAGACCAAGTCTTGCTGTAAACAAGTATGTCATCAAAGAAAACCAACACACTCTGTCTCAGCAAGTCTTTAAAAATCTTATTCATCAGAGATTGGAATGTAGCAGGGGCATTACAAAGCCCAAAGGGCATGACAAGAAACTCATAATGGCCATTGTGAGTTCTGAATGCTGTTAGGTATCTGTGTTCATCATCCATTAAAATCTGAAAATAACCAGTCCTAAGGTCTATCTTAGAAAAGTACCTTGCCCCTTGCAATTCATCCAGCAGCTCATCAATAACTGGAATATGATAGTCATGTTTGACTGTCAAATTGTTCAGATATCTGTAGTCTACACAAAGCCTCCAGGTAGAATCCTTCTTCTTCACCAAAATTACTGGTGAAGCAAAGGGGCTCTTGCTATCTTTTATTATGCCAGCTCCCAACATCTCATTGACAACTTTCTCTATCTCTTGCTTATGACTGTGTGATGATCTATAAGGGAACTGGTGCTTAGGAATGCTGTTGGGCTTGAGCAAAATTTGATGTTCCACACCCCTACTAGGAGGCAGCCCTTTGGGTTCTTGAAAAACAGCCTGAAATTCTTCCAGTAACATTTCCACCTCAGAATTACATTTCAGGGTGTCTGGTTTGTTAATTGTCACCCAATAAACCTCAGCTACATCCTTCCCCAGGTCTTCATGTATTAATTTGTATAGAGTAGGGCCAGAGATGTATTTGTAGGAGGGTTAAGTTGTCAGTGCTTGAATTTTGACCCTTTTGCCTTTCACATTCACACCAACATGCATTTTCTCATAATCTAGCTCCACAGGGGTGCAGCTCTTCAACCAGTCACCACCTAAGATCATATCACATCCTTCATTATCCAGAACCCTCAGAGGATAAGAAAAAGTGTGACCCTGCATCTTCCATTTGAATCCATCAACTATATGTGAACTCAACATTCTCTGCCCATTAGCTACCCTCACAGCTATAGGTTTTACAGCCTTTAGAGGTAGTTGTAGCTTCTCTGCTGTGCTAGCTTGTATAAAACTTAGGGTACTGCCTGAATCAATTAAGATGTGTAATTTGTGTTCCCCAGTACCACCACACACCCTCATGGTAGTAAGGCCTACTTCTCCTGTTATGGAATTCAGAGACATTTGAATTTCCTCCATTGTGTCCAAGTTTTCTTCCTCAGGTGGCTCCTCCTTCTTCAGGTAATTCCCTTCCTCTTCCTCAGTCATCACCATATAATTGAGTCTGTGCTTGCATCTGTGACCATAAGTGTATTGTTCATCACAGTTGTAACAAAGCCCTTTGTCTCTCCTAGCAGCCATTTCTGCAGGTGTTAGGAGCCTGATTTGATTTTTCTGGGGGTTTTGGTTGTTTTTTGGTTGTTGATTGTATGGGAATTCATTTTTCCTGGGAGATGGGTAATTGTTGGTGTATGTTTTGTTGGTGTTTCTGAGTTTTTTGGTGATGGCTTCTAAAGTAACCAACTGTTTCTTCCCCAAATCAATGGTTTGCTGTAGGGTAACTGGTTGAAACATATTGATGAATGATTGCAATTCTTCAGAAAGCCCACTTATGAAACTTGCAATAAAGTACTCCTCAGTGAAGTCCTTGTTTAAACACAGCATACAAGCCTTGAGTTCTTCTAATTTTTCAACATATTCCCCATAAGAACCTAAATGTCTGAGTTTGTTAAATTCTCCAATGATCTTAGACTCTTTAAGCTCCTCAAACCTGGCAGAAATAAATTCCAGGAATTGTGCCCAAGAGAGGTCCCCGCATTTTTTGCTGAGGTTTTGGAACCATTGAGCAGCTTTTCCCTCTAAGTGCATAGAAGCAAGATTGACTTTCTGTGGGTCAGGAATATTGGGAATGATTCTGAAGTAGCTATAGCATTTCAAAATCCAGGCTCTAGGATTTTCCATCGAAATAAGGGAAATCTATTTTAGGTAATGGACTGAGGATATTTCGGTTGGTGTCGGGGTGTTCAGTGTAGTTTCTGAGTTTTTGTTGTTTGAATGAGCCTTCTGATTTATGTTCATTGTATGGGCCAAAGATAGAATCCTCACCTTGCATTTTGCTCCTGTCGAGATTAAGCAGTTGTAATTGCATAGCAGCGAAGGTGTTGGTGAGGTGCTCAAATTTGCCCTGCATCTGTGATTGTATTTCTGTGTTTGTTGCTTTGAAGTCTGAGCCTAACTGTGCAATTTGATCTTGCAACTTTAATTATGTGGCTTCTCTCTTAAGAGCTTCGGTTTTCATGAAATGATTCCATTTTCTTTTGTGTTTCTAATAGATCTTTGCTGCGGGTACCTTCTGCCATGGCAGGATCGAGGCTCTGATACCAAATGTTAGGCTCGATTTGTGTAATTATATTTTTGGGAATTTTCTGGTATTTTATCTGTAAAATTCTGTAATTAATTGGAAGAGAATGGGGAGGGAGACGACTTAGAGAGAGAAAGAGAAGAATAGGAAGAGAGAGAGAGAGACATGTGAATAAATGTTGATTTGTTACTTGATCTCTGACAATTTCCCGATTACATACTCCCTAGTGGGTCCCGAAATAACAAACTATTTCTAGAAACTTAACAACAATAATTTGGCTATTTCAAGTGAAAAGCCCAGCATAAAACTCTTAGCAATCAAGCCCACATTTAACATAGAAAGTGGGCCATAATAAAAATAAAACCAATGCTATCAGATTGTCTTGAAAACTGGCCCAATGCTTTGAGATGCTGCCAGTTATTCCTCTTCTTCAATTGTTACTGTAACACCCCGCTATTTATTGAAATTCAGAGCGCGTTTTTTCGCAAAATTTTTCTAAATAAAAACATTTAATTTGCAAAATACTGATTCGGAGTGTTACCGTAAAATCTGACTTTTATCTGTAAAATCGTTAATTTTAATATGATAATAAAACAGTTATAAATATATTAACCGACTAGTGTCAGATCAAAAGCTGAGTTAAAGTACTGAAAACTGTAGCGGAATAGTAGTGTAGCCAAAACATACATATACATATCAACAAATATCCTGAACAGCTCGTCAGCTCACTCTTCGTCCCCGACTCTGTGACCGGAAAAACATGAAATACGTGGGGGCGCTAAAACACTGTGCTCCGCAGAAACTCATACTAAAGTAAAATAGTGAAAATAATAACAATATCATGATCCTGGCATATATAACTGAACTGAAACTGAAACTGATAACTGAT